AAGAGATATCTATAACTAAGATTTTCAAAGATTCTCTTCTTCCCCTTGTAGGAGTGTGCTTCTCATGGTGATATTACCGTTAGTGATTGTTTCACTTTGTGGGCCTTTTTTCTTGAAGGGGGTGCTCATGTTTAAGGGTAAGCAAATGCTACGGGTACTATCAAATTTGATTGGGAAGTGGACGATGGAGAGTTTTATTGTGATGATGGCTTGTCAATGAGGCAATTATGGAGGGTTTCTTTTCTCCCCTTTTGATTTCTCATTGCTTAAGGCGAATGTTATAAGTGTTGGCTTTATGATGTTAAGGGTTAGACAACCATGGCAAATAATGAGTTAGTTGTGAGATATGGTGGTTGGAGGTGGTTCAGGAGTGGTGCGCTAAGCTGATGATGTTATGATCATGGTGAGGGGTTAGCGACCTAAGAGGATAAACACGTTGATGAAAACCTCAAAGGTTGTTGATTCTGCTCATTGAAATGGTGGTGGTGATGAGACAGTTGGTGATGGGTAGATGGTGGCAAAGTATTCACTAGCAAAAAGGAAACAGCTTAGGGTTGCCTTATTTGATCCAATTTTTTAAAGTAGTGTTTGGGTGCAAATGAGATTTTTTGAAGATATTTGGCCAAAACATTAGGGATTGAGGAGTTTGAATTGGGATAAACTCTACTTGCTAAAAATGAGTTTATTGAGTTGGGAAGTAGGGAAGTAAAAGCAAGAGTTAGTGTGGATAGGGCCTTACCCCACAAATCAATATATTAACTTAAATGGGGGCTTATATAGTATTTCAGGTTATTTTCAAGCTTCCTCGAGTTGTTAATCTGGGATTTGCAGGCCTCATTAATAATAAATAGTCCAAATTGAATTTAGTGGGATTTGAAGAAAGTAATGATATGCTATGCTTATCCCTTAGTATATTTTTATTGATATTTAATCAAAGTATCTATCCTCGTATATATAGAAAGAAAAATACTAAGACCTTTACTTTATATACTTTTCGTTTCTATTGTTATAATTTATTTATTTATTTATGTGTGCACACAAAATATCATTTTTCTTTAACAATTAGAGGCATGTCACCACTTTACATATAACGCCATTATTGTATGTACCAGACATAAGACTTGGAGGAGAAATCGTCCTCAATTCTTGCTTTGGAATTGTATAATTTATGGAATAATTGATAAACAATTAAAAAAAGTTGTGATTTTACATGTGTGGGGACTGCAATTTTATAGGAAGGCATCATGTTCATACAATTTGCATTCAGCTTATTATGCTTTGTTCATCAATAGAGATCCTTCGTCAAATCATATGTAGGGTGCCTGTATATAAGCCAAACATATCCTTAAAAGGTAAAAAAAAAAAAATTGATTCTAAAATTTAATATTTGGCCTCAAGTTATACAAGTATTTGTATAAGACAAACTAAATTAAGCAAGGATCATACACTCCTAAATAAGTTCCAACATTTTTTTTT